CCCTAGGGCCAACACAAAGATCAAAAATACATTTAGGGCAAGGAAGGTGGCTCAGTGGTTGAGTGCCTGCCTCGAATGCATGAGGCCCTGGGTTTGATTCCTCAGCACCACATAAGCAGAAAAAGCTGAAAGTGGTACTGTGGCTCAGGTAGTAGAGTGTTAGCCTTGAGCTGAAGAGCTGAGGGACAGTGCCCAGGCCCAGAGTTCAAGCCCTAGGACTGACCAAAAAAAAAAAAAAAAATACATTTAATGTGCTCACTCTGTCATATGGCATAGCCAAGCAATAGCACTGTGGAGTTTCGGAGGATTTTAGGACTCTGGATGGGACATTTTGCTGCCTCTGAGGATTCTGGGAGACCAAGCCACCTGTGTACCCCTGGATCACAGCCTGCAGGAAAGTGGGCACCTCGCAACCCAAAGACCTGAGACGTTTGTGTCAGGCTTGGGGGTCAGACCCCAGGTGGCCCACTGACCCCTTGGCTTCCCGCAGGATGCCCTGCACACGTTCCCACAGCTGCAGGTGGAACAGAGTGGGGAGGGGTCCCCCGAAGAGGGAGCCGTGCGGCTGCGGCCGGCTGGGGAACCCTACAACCGCAAGACACTCAGCAAGCTCAAGAGGAACGTGGTCCGAGCCCAGGTGGGGACTGGGAGGGGGCAGCAGGAGGGGCTGGAGGAAGGAGGGGGGCTTGGCAGCCCCGGTGTGGGCCTCACCCCCCTGACCCTGTGTGCTCAGGAGTTCAAGGTTGAGCTGGAGAAGTCGGGGTACTACACGCTCTACCACTCACTCCACCACTACAAATACCACACGTTCCTGCGCTGCCGCGACCAGGTGAGCCTACCTCCACATCTGCCACCCGTGGGCCCGACACGCCACATTTGCCTCCTCCCTCAGACCCAGGGGTCCAGACCCCAGCCCTTGCCCTCAGACCCAGGGGTTCAGGCTCTAGCCTCCTCCCTCGAACCCAGGAGTCCAGGCCTCAGCCTCTTCCCTCAGACTCAGGTTCAGTCCCCAGCCCTCTTTCCTTAGATTTGGGTCTACAGACCTTAGTTCTCCTCCCTCAGACCCAGGGGTCCAGATTCTATTCTTCTTTCCTCATCCTCAGGGGTCTAATCTCAGTCTCCTCTTTCAGACCCAGGAGTCCAGGCCCCAACCCCTCTTCCCTCAAACCCAGGAGTCTGGGTCCTGGGCCTCCTCCCTCAGACCCAAGAATTAAGGTTCCTCGAGTGCTCTTTCTCCTGGACCTCTGAATCCAGCTGCCCCTCCCCCTGGGACCCAGATCCCCACCCCACCCCCAGCCCTCCCAGCTCCATGTTTCCCCCCTGCAGACTCTGGCCATCGAGGGCGGAGCTGAGGACCTGGGCCAGGAGGAGGTGGTCCAGCAGTGCATGCGCAACCAGCCCTGGCTAGAGCAGCTCTTCGACTCCTTCAGTGACCTGCTGGCCCAAGCACAGGCCCACAGCCGCTGTGGGTGACCCCCACGGCCTGCGCGGGCGCTTCCTCCATGATCAGAGAATTGGGACAGAACTGTTGTCCTCAGGAGCTGACCCCTGGGGCTCTCCATTGCGGCCAGGAGGACCAGAAAGGGGGGGGGAACAGTCATTGGTCAGAGTGTGTCCACACTGCTCCTCCCCCCAGGGCAGGGTTCAGAGTTCGAATCCCTCCTCTTCCTGAGCCCTCTCTACCCTTCCCCAATTTCCCCACTGTCCGGTGTACAGAGAAATTATTTATATATATATGTATAAATGTCTATTTAGTAATGGTCTCCCTCACCCTTCACCCCGGTCCCCGCTCCATGGCCGTAGCCCTGCCCTCTCCACTTTGTACATAATGTATAGGAAAAGTCTATGTATGGTTGAGGAGGGCGGGGGCTTCAGAGAGCTGGGGGACCCCTCTGCCCCCTCCCCTCACAGCACCCCCTAGAGGCCATGATCTTTGCTAAAGGCCATTTCCTCCCCAGGGCATTTGGTGTGTCGGGTGGGAGGGAGAAAAACGCATCTTGTTAATTATTTTTAATCTTATTTATTGTACATACCTGGGGCAGGGGGAGGGGAGTTGGGGAGGGGGATGAGGATCTCCCCCCCACCCCTCTCACTCCTTTTCTACAGCGATTTGTCTGTGTCTGTCCTCCACCCACAGCCCCCTCCCGTTGTCATCTGGATGTGGTTCTATTTTTTAATCTGTCCCTGCTCCTGCCCTGCCCTCTCTGCTCCTTTCCTCTCCTCTTTCTGCCCCCCACCCAGCCCTCGTCTCTTGCTCTTTATTGGGCTTCTGTACAACTCACCTTGTATACACTGTGTACACACGACCAGCCAAACGAAACCCAACGGCAAAGTACCAGCAGGCTGGAGTGCATCTGTCCTGCGGCGATGGGGGGGAGAGGGGCGGAGAATGGGCCTGGAACACAGCACCAGGTCTACAGATGGATCAGACGGTTCTTCTAGAGCCCTGGAGGTCCTTGTATATCACACTCGCAAATCCAGGTGGGTCTAATGCTTTCTCAAGGTCTGGGGGCATCTGTCTTGAGGGCCAGTCTTAGTGTTGGCCAGAGTGACAACCATGTATCAGAAGGTCAGACACTACAAGGGTCCTCTGGCAAGGTGAGTAGCTGGGGGCTGGAAGGGGCATTAGAGGACCCGCACAGGGCTTGTTGAGTTTCCTCACAACATGGTGTCCGGTATTTTCCACCGAGTCGGGGAGGAGACTGCAAGAATTTGATCCACACATTAGGAGAAAGCCACTCAGTTCACCACAAGCTCCATTTATTATTATTATTTTTTAATCATGGGGCTTGAATTCAGGGCTTGGGCGCTGATACTGAGCTTTTCTGCTCAGGATAGTGTTCTACCACTTTAAGCCACAGCTCCACTTTTGGTTCTCTGGTGGCTAATTGGAGATAAGAATCTTAAGGACTTTCCTACTTGGGCTGGATTTGAACTGAGATCCTCAGATCCCAGCCACCTGACTGTGAGCCATCATTGCCCAGTTGGGTTGGTGATTTGTTTGGTTTTGGTGGTGCCCACCTCACCCCCCAAGGCCTCGTGTCTGCAAGCTTAGAGCTCTACTACCAACAGTTGTTCGTTTGTTTGTTTGTTTTGGGGGGTGGGTCAATACTGAGGCTTGAACTCTGCCCAGGAGTCTGGGCAGAGAAGTCTGAGACACAGCAAAAAGGAAAGAAAATTGGGGAGTTGGGGGTGGCGGTGGCTCATGTCTTTAATCTTTGCTACTCATGAGGCTGAGATGTGGAGAATGGCAGTTCAAAATCAGTTTAGGAAGGAAAGTCTGCCAGACCCTATACCCAAAATAATCTGCCAAAAGCTGAGCAGAAAGCATAGCTCCAGCGGTATTGTACCAAACAAGCACAAAGCCCTGAGTTTAAACCCCACTATCACCAAAGAAAGAGACACGAACGTCAAGGCAGGGAGACTTGAAACCATTGCCAGGGGTCCAGGGCTGGAAGCTGGAGGTGCCAGCCGGGCCATGCCAGCCTTCCACTGCTGTCTCCTAAGTTTTGGCATAGCAGTGGCAATGAATCTTCCAAAAATGGCCTGCCAGTTGTCTGTGAGGCTTGGTGTCCCTCTACCCCCCCTGGGGCAAGCTGTAACTTGTCAGCTTCTCAGTGTGTATTTGGGTTCTGTAAGGAGCAGGGTGTCCTGGCCAAGAATGCGACCCCGCTACACAGCTACACAGTACGGAAGGCCGGGGTCTTAGTTGAGTGTGTGTGTGTGTGTGTGTGTGTGTGTGTGTGTGTGTGTGCACGCGCGTGCGCGCGCTGGGGGGGGCGAATTGGTGCAGGGCGCCCCCCGCTGGGGCTCAGGTGAAAGGGAAACATGGTCCCCTCATGACCTCCTGGCGGGCAGGGGTGGATCCCTTCTTGGGGGATGGGGGGGGGGGTGTAGCACAATACATTGAGTTGGGTTTCTTCCCAGGGCGGAAGGTTGAACCAGGGCCAAGTGTTCTGTGATAATGAAAACCGGAAAGGGATAATGTGTTTATCTGGAACACAGACAGACATTCATGCATGGTTTGGGGACAGAACAGATGGCAGGGCCTTGGTCACTAACCCTGAGTACCTAGTGTGAATCAGGCGCTCCCCGTGCTCCCAGGGATCGCTCCTCACCCACGCTAAGCAGCTGTTTTCACCCCTGTTTTCTGTCCGGATTTGAATCCAGGCAGCCTGCTCCGAAGTGAGGACATCAGAGGTGTGCACAGATTTTATTTATTTTTAAACTCCAGTCCTGGCACTTGAATGCAGAACCTGGGTATTACTCGAGCTGTTATGCTCAAGGCTAGTGTTCTACTGCTTGAGCCACAGCTCTGCTTCAGGCTTTTTTAGTGCTTCATTGGACATAAGTCTCACACAGACTTTTACTGTGTGGGACCCAGGCTGGTTTCGAACTGCAATCCTTAGATCTTAGCATCCTGCCTGAGTAGCTAGGATGACAGGCGTGAGCCACCGGCACCCAGCTTCTTGACAGACTTTTTATGATCTCAAGGAATTGAGGTTTTAATTAAATCTGAACTCAAAACAAGCTACCATATAGAAAAGTACAATTTTAATGCCTTCCAGAAAAAAAGGAAAACAAAATGAAGTCTGTCAGGCAATGTAGTGCAAAGAGGCCTTGAACTCAAGATCCTCCTGCTTCAGCTTCCCTAGGCTGAGATTAGTTAGTTGTATTTTCACCCACCTACGTTTTTTTTTTCTTTTCTGTTTTTTTTTTGTTTGTTTTTTGGTCATTTGTGCAGCTTGAAGTCAGGGCCTGGGAGTTCACTCAAGGCAAGCGCTCTACCACTTGAGCCACAGCGCCACTTCCAGTTTTTTGGTGATTCATTGGAGCTAAGAGTCTCACAGACTTTCCTACCTGAGCTGACTGAACTGTGATCCTCAGATCTCAGCCTCCTGAATAGCTAGTCTTAGAAGCATGAGCCACCGACACCCAGCTCCATTCCTTTTTTAAAAAGCACCTCTTGATATTGGCAGTGATGTTTATTTATTTTTCCAAAGGCGAAGATATATAGATATATATGTATATATACAGCGGTGGCTAGAAGCCCCACACCCCGCCAGGGACTTGGGTGGGGATGGAAAGCATTGGCAGAAGGCACACTGTGGTGATAAAAGACGTAATATGGGCAGGGGGTGTAGTGTACCCTGGGGAGATCCAGAGGAAGAAACTGAGGCTCAGTCAGGGCCTCAGGCCACACAAGAGGTGTTGCAGCTGGTCCCAAGGACTGGTGCTCATAGCTTCTTGCTTGGCTAGAGCAGGACACAGGGGCAGCCTCCATTCTTCTTCCTGGGGGCGCTGGGGGGACTGGGGGGCAGCTCTTGCTCCTGGTATTTTCTGTGGGGAGAAGCTGCTAAGTCTGAGCTGGAAGGGTTGGGGTGTGTGTGGGGGGGGGTGGTCAAGACAATGGGAAGGGGGGACTGGGCTCACCGGACAGCCCGCACCAGCTGCTCAAAGGCCTCATCCACGTTGAGTCGCAGTTTGGCGGAGGCCTCGAAGTAGGCCACGTGGTTGGTAGCGCTGAAGGTCAGTGCTTCCGATCTGAGGACCTGGAGAGAATATGGGGGGCATGTGAGACTCGGGTCATTGTGCTTGACCTGACCTAGCCAGAAAAGATGATAAGCATGCTGTAGGCTTTTTTTTTTTGGGGGGGGGGGGGAAGAGGGGACAGTCCTGGAGCTTGAACTTGGGGCCTGGATGCTGTCCCTGAAATTTTTTGCTCAAGGCTAGTGCTCAACCATTCAAACCACAGTGCCACTTCTCACTTTTTGGTGGTTAATTACAGAGAAGAGTCTCATAGAGCCAGGCACCAGTGGCTCAGGCCTGCAATCCTAGCTACTCAGGAGGCTGAGATCTGAGGATTATGGTTCAAAGCCAGCCAGGTCAAGAAAGTCCCTGTGAGACTCATCTCCAATTAACCACTCAAAAACTGGATAGGGTGCTGTGGCTCAAAGTGGTAGAGCACTAGGCTTGAGCAAAAGAGCTCAGGGACAGCGCCGGGTTCAAGTCCCATGACGGTCAAAAGTCTCATGGAATTTCTTGCCTGGCCTAACTTGGAGCCATGATCCTCACCTCTTAGCTGCCCAAGGAGCTAGGGTTACAGGTGTGAACCAACTAAACCAACTACACAGGTGCTTGGCCACGCTATTATGTCTTGTTGGCTTGAGGGAAAGTTCCAGAAGGATCATGGGTGGTTGCCATTTGTGTGAGAAGTTGGAAGCTTTGTTTTTGTTTGTTTTGTCTGTTGTGGGGCTTGAACTCAAGGCCTGGGTGCCATCCCTGCATTCTTTTGCTCAAGGCTAATGCTCTATCACTTTGAGCCACAACTCTACTTCCAATTTTTGAGTCGTTAATTGGAGATAAAAGTCTGCCCAGCCTGGCTTTGAACCATGATCCTCAGATTGCAGCCTCCTGAGTTGGTAAGATTATGAGCCACGGCACCCAGCTGAATGGAAAACTTTGTTACCTGAGTTTTGTAAGAAGGAGATCAGCTTGCAAGAAATAAGCATATTTTTAGGCAAGCACAGCTCTGATTTGGGCTTCATGTAGATGGGGACCTCTGTGTGCCAACCATGCCATTTGTGTGTCCACAGAAGGGATGGTAGCAGAGAGAGGAGGGGACAAATCTAGAATGGAACAATCCTATAAAGGGAGCCGCCACCCCCCTGGGGGGCTGGAGGTGAGGAAGGGAGGATGGTGGAGGGAAGAATCAAGGAGTTCACCAGACCCCTGATGGAGTGGATAAAGCTTTCCATGTGCTGAGAAGCCAGATGGCCTGACTTGGAGGTAACATGTTCAATTGAGGGGTGTGGCAATGGATCCAGAGGAAGTGGGCCTCAGCAGGGGTGCCAGATGGGGTCCCCAGGGAAAGGGGGGGGCAGCCCAAACCTGGCGCTGTGACTCCAAATCTGCCTTGTTTCCAACCAGCACCACTGGGAAATCATCACGGTCCTTAACCCGGAGGATCTGTGTGAACAACTTGCTCACCTCGTTGAAACTGGGAGAGAAGTCCCAGGCATAAGATCCTGGGGTGCATCACCCTGGTACCCCAACCCGTGCTCTCCCCATCCCCCAATTCTGCCCACTGGCAACTCCTGGCACCTCTGGCGGTCGTTAATGGCGAACACAAGCAGGAAACCATGGCCAGCACGCATGTACTGCTCCCGCATGGCCCCAAACTCCTCCTGGCCTGCTGTGTCCAGGACTGTGGAGACAGAGATGGGAGCCATTGGGGTGAGGAACCCCCCCCCCACACAGCACCCCTGGGAGCCCTCAGCCCCAGTCCCCTTTCCACTCCTAGCTGCCATTACTATCCAGCCGGGCAGGAATGCCATCCACCGTGCAGATCTTCGTGTAGGAGTCCTCAATGGTGGGGTCGTAGTCGGACACAAAGTAGGACTTGTGGAATGGAGAGAGGTCACTGTTAGTGGAGCACTTTGGTTTCTTTGCCTCCCTCCACATACCTTTCCCTTCCCCCTGCTCCTTTCTCCCTGCATCTTCCTCCCCTCTACCTGCTAAAGGTCTCAGTCCCCTCCTCTCCCTGGTTCACTCAGGTATAAAGTGCATCTGCCACAGGATTACTTCCTGGCTGTGTGCCTTTGCTTCTCTGACCTTTTGTCTCACTAGGAAAAGAAGGGTGTGGAGCTAGTGTAATCCCAGCTACTCAGGAGGCTGAGATAGGAGGGATTCAGGTTGACAGCCACTCTAGGACAGGAAAGTCTGTGAGACTCTTATCTCCAATTAACCACCAAAGAGCCCACAATGTGGCACAAGCTAGTGCTCTACTGTGCACCATCCTTGAGCAAACAAAAGCTAAGCAAGGGGGCTGGGAAGGTGGCTCAGTGGTAGAGTGCTTGCCTTGCATGCATGAGGCCCTGGGTTCGATTTCTCAGCACCACATAAGCAAAAAGAAAAAAGCCAGAAGTGGCGCTGTGGCTCAAGTGGTAGAGCGCTAGCCTTGAGCTGAAGAGCTGAGGGATAGCGCCCAGGCCCAGAGTTCAGGCCCCATGACTGCCCCCCCATAAAAAAAACAACTCAGCGACAGTGCTCAGGCCCCTGAGTTCAAGCCTGAATACCACCCCCCCACACACACACCCCAAAAAACAAAAACTCTACCCTATCCTTGTGAGATGAAGGGACATCCTTGTTGAACATTTAACCTATTGCTTAGCTTAGCTATAGTAAGTGATCAGCAATCTGGAGCAGTGGTCCACAAGTATCTGGCGGTCATCTCTGCCTCCTCCCTTTTCTCCTCCCTCTCTTCTTCCCTCCTCTTCTTTCCCTCCTCCCCCAGAGGCGGCCTTCAGCGTCTCCTCCCAGGGGAAGGTCCTGGTTCCAATCCAACCAAGAGGCTGCCCCACCCTCGCCTCGGCCCCTCCCTTCCTGCCTGGGTCTCGCAGTCTCTGGCCAAGGCCTTTGGCCAGCCCTGGGTTGGCCTCTGAGTGGAGGAGGCCCAGGGCTGGGGCCTAACTCCACGCAGCAGCAGGGCTCACTGGCTGGCGCTTTCTGGGGTCTCTTGCGGGGGTCTGCAGGGGGGGGCACACAGCTTTCTAGGATTTCTCTGATATCAGAAGCGTGTCTTTTGGGAATGGGGTGAAGGTTTCCTGAGCAAGGCTGAGTATTTCCGAATGCTGCAGTCAGCTAGGGGATGCTGAAGGATGGCTGGCTCTGCAGGGAGGAGGGTGGGAGGACCAGATCCTAGGCGGGGCTGAGGACCAGAGAGGGGGGATTAGGGGCGTGGTTTCAGAGTACATCCTGGGCAGCTACTGGTGAGACCCGGGGGCCAGCCAGCCCAGGACTACCTGATAGGTCTGCCTGTACTCCTACAGGTCTTCAGATCTATTCCTTAAGGAATAGACTCCCCCCCCCACACACACACCCCGAGGAGTGAAAAGAATCTAGGGGGGGGGTCTCTTCATGATGATTTGGGGAAGCCCAAGATTTTCAGAGATTCAGGAATTAGAATAGAGGAAACAAGATAGAGGAGTAAACTGATTTTTCTTGGTGATGGGGTGGGATGTGGAGGAATGAGGTAAGGGCCAGGTTTTGGAGTTTTCTGTAATGGCTTAAGGACAGGATTTCTTTTTGTTTCCTCCTTGAAATCTGTGTATAAGGGGAATAAGCCTCTCGAGAAAGTGTTAGAGGGTGCCTCTCAGGATCAGGATGGAGTGGCTCCAGAAGAGCCTCGGGGCCAAGAAGAAGACAAAATGTCTAGATTCTTGGGGTGAATGTCCCTGGCGGCTCCAAGAATCTGGTCTGGAAAAATCTCAAAGGTGCTGGGCACAGCTGCGATTTGGGGGAGGTAGTAGGTTCAGTGGGTGGGAGATTCCCCCGGAGTGTTGAGTCTGATGAGAGCGACTGCTCAGTCTTTAGGGTGTTGGGGAGGCACCCGGGGTTAGGTCACAGGAAAGGTGGGGGGGTCTCAGGCACAGGACGGGGGTGGGGGGGGCGGGACGGTCTCAAGGAGAGCTGAGAGTTGCGATCTGAGGGGATCTTTGGGGCCTCCTAGGGGGCTCAGTGATGGATCAGGATGAAATCATCTCAGGGACCCCCCAAAGGACCTAAGTTCGGGTCTGGAGGGACACCCTCCCGGGCGAGGGCCCACTACCTGGATGAACTGGATGGTCAGCGCGCTCTTGCCCACGCCTCCGCCGCCCACGACCACCAGCTTGTGTGTCTCGCTGGGCGGGGGGTCCCCGGGTCCCGGTCCCCCGCCCCGGGGCCGCCCCCGCCCAGTCCCGGACGCCGCCCCGCTGCTCATGTCGCCGCCGCTGCCGCCGCCTCTGCTACCGCCTTTGGGGGAGCCGGGCGGGACCTAGAGGCGGGCTACGCTAATGAGGCTACTGCATATTCATGAACTGCGGCCACGAGAGTTCCCGTCTCGGGCCACTTAGGGAGGGGACAAGGCCGAGAAGGAGGAGGAACTAGGGAGCTAATAAGGACCGGGGAGACGGGGAAATTCCGAGGGGGCGGGCATATGTTAATGAGGGACCTGTGTTCACCCTAAACTGCGCCACGCGCTCCCAGGGGGCGGGGCGGATGTGGGCGGGGCTATGCTAACGAGGGCACATTCTTTTGGCCGATGGGCCAAGAAGACCTTAGGGGTGGAGCTATGCAAATTAGGACTTCTTGAAACTTAGTTCTTCTCAAGTCTTAATTCTGGTAGGCGGGGCTCGCCGACTTGCGCTTGGCCGTATATAGGGCGCTCTGAGGAAAGAGCAGGTCTTAAAAGCGAAGCTCCACCTCTGTCCTGGGATCTTAGCCAAGTTCTCGAACCGGGTGTTTGGGCTAGAAGCTAGAGTCTCCGCCCGCCAAGGGACCCAGGCTTCCGGTTCCCGCAGTCCCAGCCAAACGGAAGACAGACTAGGAGGGGAGCTGGGGCCCTGGATGGGGACGGCAGAGTAACGGGGCTGGGAGGGGCCGTGAGATCACTGCATTCTTCATCCATTAGCCAGCTCGCCCAAGTCGGGATGGCCGAGTCATGAAGGGCCTAAGGCCAAGATTTCTGGTGTTTGGAGGAGCAAACTGATGGCCTGGACACATGGCTCCCTAGGAAGCGATTAGAGTGGGAGTTTTGGATTCCTGGGGGGGAGGAGGTCTGTGTGTGTATGTGTGTGTGTTGGGGAGGGGGCTGGTCCCTTATTATGTTCAGTAAGGGAGCGAACAAGGGGCCCAGACTGTTGGGTGCCGAAGTTTGAAGAGGCTGAGAACCCAGAAATCTGGATCTGATGTTACTGGGGAGGGGAAACCTGAATTCTAGTTTTCGCGTAATTAATGTGTTTGAGACCTAAAATGGCCTGAGGATCCGATTCGATTCCCAGGAAAGAAAACTAAGATCCCTGAGTCCAAGGGAGGAGAGAATTGGGAGTCTTTACTCTTCTAGGTGAACGCATTTAGAATTCGGATTTCTCTGTCCCGAACGAGGAGGCTCCAGGGCCCCTACTCCAGAATGTGGGCGGGCAACTTCCAGCCGGGTCGGCTAATACCAAAGAACTACAATTCCCTGGGATCAGCTCGGCCGAGCGTCTACGTCATTTCCGGTCCCACTGCCCTTTCTTCTTCCCCTCCTCCCCTGCGCATGCACGGCACTGTGGGGCTTTACCGCGGGCTACAGCAGCCCCGCCCACTTCACCTCTCACCCCTTTGCTGTCCCCGCGCGACGGAGGCGGCGCGCGGACTACGCATCCCGACGTGCGTCGCGCGTGCCCGGCCCCAGGTGTTCGTTTGACTTCTGGGAAATCGAGTCCGCTTTCCCTCCTGCCGGCCTTCAGGGCACCGTACTTTGTACTTCAAATCCCGGCAAGCTCAGCGGCGTTTTAGCTACGCCCTTCTCCTCCTCTGCTCGCGAGCCCCGCCCCAGTCCGCCCCGCCCCGCGCCGCGGCCGGAGCCGCAGCCCGAGCGGCGGGGTAAGATGGCGGCGGCGGTCTGGGCCGCGGGACTCGGGCCTACCGGGGTGGGCGGGGCGAAGTCGGGTCGCTAGTTGTCCCCAGGTGACCCGCACACTCCAGGGGGCCTGGAGGGCTTAGCGGAGCAGTCTCAGACCCCTCAGCGGTGGCGAAAGCTGGCGTTGAACGGGGGGCCTTCTTAGGGCCCCGGGACGCGTTTGTGGGTACCAGGGGGCGTCTTCGGGCGTCCCGGAGAGACCTGGGGGTGTCCAGAGGGCCTGGATCGAGCCTCGGGCCTGCCCTCCATCATATAGCTGACCTAGGTCGTGTCGTAGGTGTTGTAGATCGTTTTTATGGGGTGACTGGAGGGTAGGGTCTGTTCAGAAGGTTTTGGGGCCATATTGAGGTTTTGAGCTATGTCCCAGGAGAGAAGGAGGTGTGCATTCTCTGTGGAGTATCTTCAGAGCCACCTAGAGCCCCTGGGGGTATGTCTGTTAGGGCTGCGAAGTGTCTCCATGGGCTGGCCTGAGGCTGCGACTAAGCCACCTAGATGTGGTGCCATTTATTGGTCTAGAAGAACTTATCACAGGGCTAATCAGAAACCCCTTTAAAGGGCCACGTTGAAGGAATGAGATGTGTCCACAACGGGAGGGAGGCCAATATCCTGATGCACTGAGAGGCCTACATGGGTCTCAGAGGTCTGGAAAGTGTCTGATCTGGGTGACAGGAGGCTGGAAGCAAATCTGAAGGTCCTGGAACCTTTGAGGTGGCTTTGATGTGATTGCAGGAATTCTCTCTATACTTGGAGTACACTCAAATGCCTTTTGAGTCTCTATAAGTACGTAGAGAATAATATGAAAGAGATGGTTGGAAATTCTGCCCAGCTCAGATGTACTTGCCCTTCAGAAAGTAATTCAAATGAAAATTGCTTGGAAACAAATGCCTTGTCCTGAAGCTAGAATTTTTTTCATGTAGGTCTGAGACGGTGTGTAGGGTCACCTGGACTTTGTCTAGTACTGTTCAACCTTGATCCACAGTTAAGAAAAACGTTTTTAGTGAAACCAATACATGCCAATGTGTGGATTTAACAGATATTCAAGTCCCCATGAATTGGTATTTCTACTTAAGCTTTGTGAAGAATTTTCCATTATGTCTTATTTATTTACAACAGTCATATAGGAAACCTTTAGCTGCTCTCAGATCCTAGACAGGGAACCATCCATCTAGAGGGACCTAGCAGTGTCTGTAAAGCCTTATAATGTCTAAAAGCTTCAAGGAGCCAACGGAAGGTCTCCCCCACAGCAGTGGGGACCTATCTTGGTATGCTGTTGGAGGTTGGGGACCTCCAAGTCTGTAGCCAAAAGATAATGATTGAGCTTGATTTGTGACAGTCACTGTTCCGGGGAGCAGGTGGTACTTCCCCAGAGGTGTTGGACAGCAGCCTTAGGGACGAGCGGGGTATTGAGTATTGATTGAAGAGGCTGAGATTGATTGATCGTCTGGGTGGAGCAGATTTACCGGAGTTAGGCAAAAGCCTCCCAATGTGGAGAGGTTGGAGTTCAAGTGTGTGAGTATAGAAGCTTAGGCCCAGCTTGATATTCTATGCCACGACAGAAATGAGCTCTGAAGCCTTTTCTTAGCAGGTGTACAAGCAAGGAATTGGGGAGACAGATGGAATGCAAACCAGGACACACAGAACTAATAAGCTGGCACTGTTAACATATTTTGAACACCTAGGCTATGCTAAGTATGTGGCTTTGAATTTTCTCGGCTAATCTCTGAGAATAAATGCTGCCCTTGCCATTTTCAAATAAGCACACTGGGTAGTGTAGAGTTAGGGAGTATGGACTTTCTAAGAATTTGGAGATTGGATATTGTTTTCAGAGTAGCAGATTTAATAGCAGTGGAACATTCCAGCTGTACTGTTCGTATTTTCTGAAGCCCTAATCAAGATGTTCGCCAGCCTGAAGATTCCTGATTGGGCACTGAAATCCAAGAATTTCCGAGGCTTTGACCATGCTTACACAGCACAGGCATTTGGGTGATTGGCAAGTGCCCCGTTGGGTTGGTGGCGACTGTATGCCTTTCTGAAGTTTAGCCTTTTCCTTTTAAAAGTGGCCTACTGGACTTGCAGGTTTCTCTGTCATGATTCCATCTTGTGCATGTAAATAACAATTCCTCGGTCCTTCACCATTGAGGACGATGGATGCTCTATGAAGCTGTGTGGTAGCTGACATTCTGTGCCATCAGCACACTGGCACCTACCTCTTTGGGAAAGGTGGGTTTATCAGACTGTGGAACATACTCTTTTGAACTCGTTGAAATCACAACACCAACTAGCCCCAGTGTTGGGTCTCTGTCCCTTCAGAAGAGGGAACAAAGTATAGAAATTTGGGTAGGTTTGTGAGGAGTGAAGGGGGAGGAGCTAGGGAACCAGATGTTGAAAAGGACCAAAGGAGGAGGCAGTAAAGGAGAGGACCACTCTAGACCTCTAGACCCTGCCTGTATGCCTGGTCCAAAGACAGGGTGGATGGGGGTGAAGTGGACAAGAGGCAGGATGCTGTTTTGAGGCAGTGGTGGAGGCCCCAAGGTCTTCAGGTCCATCCTCTACTTCCACCCCTCTCCCTCGGCCTCCACTCCAAACTGTCCCTTCTTGTCCACCAGGTGACCATGGAGGAAGAAGATGAGTCTCGAGGGAAGACGGAGGAGTCAGGCGAGGATCGTGGTGGTGATGGCCCACCTGACAGAGACCCTACACTTTCTCCTTCTGCCTTTATCCTGGTGAGGCTCCTGGGAACCAGAGGCTGGGAAATGCTGGGAGTGTGGTTCCTGGACCAGAGGAAGGATGTCGGGGTGTGCGTCTTGGCTGAGGACTTGGATCTGGCCGTCAGGGTGTCTGGAATGTTTGTTTCCCAAGAAGCACAGATGTCAGCCGGAAGCCTTCAACATGTAGTCCTTCCCCTCACTATCGCCTTCTTTTCCCTAGCGAGCCATTCAGCAGGCTGTGCGAAGCTCCCTCCAGGGGGATCTGCCAAGTGATAAAGGTATGGTGCATGCTGGTTCTGTTCAGCCCCCACCATTCTCTGTTCATTCATGAGATTGTCCCAGGCCTCTGAAGTGCCTCCTTTGTCTTGTCTCCCAAGCCTGTGGTGTTCCCCACACTGGCTGCCTTCGAGAGACCCACAGGTCTAGATCAGAGAAGGCCTAGTGACATGCCAGAAGTAGTCTGGGCACTGGTATAGTTCATAGTGGGTGCAGGGGCATCTGGGGTAGGCAGGAAGGGCCTGTCCCAGAACCCAAGACCCAATAGGACTTGGAGGCCAAGTGCAGGTGTGTGGATTTTCTCCTGAGGGCAGATAGGCCAGATGGATGAGAACCCAGAAGAGGGTGCTGGGAAACCCAGGGGACTGAGCTGCGAGAGTAGGGTTTCCTTAGCAGGCCTGGCCTCCTCTCCTTCTGTCCCCAAGGCCTTTGGCTCCATTCCCTCATGCAGATCTCTCTCCCTAGATGGCTCGCGGTGTCACGGCCTTCCGTGGAGGCGCTGCCGGAGTCCACGGTCAGAATCCCGGCCTCAGGAGTCAGGGGGCACGGACACGGCCACTGTGAGTGAGAGAGGATGGTACCTGTATTCCTGGGTCTGGAGGTCTGGGGTGCTCAGCAGGGGCAGGATTAAGGCGTAGCCTGGCCTCAGCACCAGATCTTGGGCAATTGGTGGCTGTCAGAAGGGGGGGAATCACTGGGTCCCCAAGTTTTCTTGTGCTTCTCATGTCTGGGAACCCCAGAGGTTAGGAACTGGGGAAATTTTGTGAGTCATCCCACCATGAAGCCCCTCCTGCCCCATTCCAGGTGTTGGACATGGCCACAGACAGTTTCCTTGCGGGACTGGTGAGCATCCTAGACCCCCCAGATACCTGGGTTCCCAGCCGCCTGGACCTGCGGCCTGGCGAGTGAGTACCTGGAGAGCTGGTGTGGGAGCTGCCCCCCCCCTCTTTCCCCTCCACCACTCCCTTCACACCCCGTCTCCCCAGCTCATCCACTACTTTGCCTTGCAGAAGCGAAGATATGCTGGAGCTGGTGGCTGAGGTCCGAATTGGGGACAGAGACCCCATCCCTCTCCCTGTGCCCAGCCTGCTGCCCCGTCTCAGGGCCTGGAGGACAGGCAAAACGGGTATGTGGGGGTTGAGGTGGAGCTGGGCAGGTTGTTCAGGCTTCGTTACCACTTCCATTAGTCGTGGTAGTGACCATTATGTCCTTCAGACAGAAATCTTCACATGGGCTGGGAATGTGGCTTAGTGGTAGAGTGCTTGCCTAGCTTGCATGAAGTCCTGGGTTCGATTCCTCAGTACCACATACACAGAAAAAGCCGGAAGTGCTCAAGTGGTAGAGGGCTAGCCTTGAGCAAAAGGACAGTGCCCAGGCCCTGAGTTCAAGCCCTAAGACTGGCCCCCCCCAAAAAAAAAAAATCTTCACGTTAGATTGCAGTAAAAGTCATATGTGCATGCAATTTGGATAGCAGAGGCAGAGCCTCAAGATTTGAGACTAGCACGGGCTACCTAACCAGATGCTATGAAAAGACATCAAGGCCTGTGCAGGTGCAGGTGTAGCTAAATTAAAGGCCATGCAGGATGGAGCAGTGGTGTCCAGGGCTCCATGTGCTGCGAGTTCCTCATGGTGTCTTCATCCTCCCGAGGGGCTACAGTCTGAAAGTGACATGTCACTGGCTTGAGGGTACCTCGCAAGCCTTGATCCATGGTTCATCATGGAGAGAGAATCTATTTCCAGAGTTCACAGGGTGGCAGTCAGCCTCGCTTCTTCCTGCAAGGAGCAGCTGGTGGAGGGCAAGGTTCTGGGTCTGGAGGTGGCGTTTGGCCTGAACCGTAGCCCATTCTGCTGGGGGGACCCTGCCCTTGGGCTGAGCAATTCATAGACTTGAGGGCCAGCATGTGATGCATGAGGTCAGCCAAGCACTCCATTTGGTGGCCTGAGAGTGCCGGCTGTTCCTATTTGGTTGCTTGACTTTGAGGAAGATTGTCTAGCTGTGTACCTCAGTTTCCTCTTGTGCCTATGGGTTGCAGCTCCTACAATGGAGTTAGAGCATCCTCGAAGTGGCTCAGCTAAAGCTCCTGGGCAGTGCCTGGTTCCACAGCACTGCGGGGACCCGTGCAGCTGGGGCCATGATGGGTGCCGCTCTGCTCATGGCCAGGGAGGAGTGAGTGCGCTCCTGACCCAGCTGTCTGTCTGTCTGTTTGCAGTTTCTCCACAGTCCCACTCTTCTCCACCCACCTGTGCCCACCACCTCCTAACCTTGGGCACTGGGGATGGGGGCCCCGCCCCCCCGCCTGCCCCCTCCTCTGCCTCCTCCTCTCCTTCTCCTTCCCCTTCCTCATCTTCCCCCTCTCCTCCTCCTCCCCCTCCTCCCCCTGCGCCCCCAGCCCCGCCTGCCCCCCGATTTGACATCTATGACCCTTTCCACCCCACCGATGAGGCCTACTCCCCACCGCCGGCTCCTGAGCAAAAGTATGACCCCTTTGAGCCTACCGGCTCCAACCCCAGTTCGTCCGCGGGGACCCCTTCACCGGAGGAAGAGGAGGAGGAAGAGGAGGAGGAGGAGGAAGAGGAGGAGGAGGAGGAAGAGGAAGGTCTGTCGCAGAGCATCAGCCGCATCTCAGAGACCCTGGCTGGCATCTACGATGACAACAGTCTGAGCCAGGACTTCCCAGGTGACGAGAGCCCCCGCCCCGACCCCCCGCCTCCGGCCACGGGGCCCGGGACTCCGCCCCAGGCGGACTCCACCCGCGCGGAGGGAGCCACGCGGAGGCGCGTCTTCGTGGTGGGCGCCGAGGCCGAGGCGTGCCGGGAAGGCAAGGTCTCCGTGGAGGTGGTGACGGCTGGGGCCGCGCTGCCTCAGGCCCTGCTGCCCCCCGCGGACTCGGAGATCGAGGAGGGGGAGATCGTGCAGCCCGAGGAGGAGCCCAGGCTGGCGCTGCCCCTGTTCCGCGGCGGGCGGCCGGCCCGGCCTCCTCCGGCTCCCGCGGCCACGGCCGCGCCCGCCCCGCCGCCGCCTCCGCCTGCTGCCGCTGCCGCCGCCGCTGCTGCCGCCGCCCGAGCCCCGGAGGGCGACGACTTCCTGTCCCTGCACGCTGAGTCGGACGGCGAGGGCGCCCTGCAGGTGGACTTGGGGGAGCCGGCGCCTGCGCCCCCTGCCGCCGACGCCCGCTGGGGCGGCCTGGACCTACGCCGCAAGATCCTGACCCAGCGGCGGGAGCGCTACCGCCAGCGCTCGCCGTCCCCGGCCGCCGCCCCTGCGCCCGCGCCCGGCGCCGGCCCGCCTGCCCGCAAGAAGTCCCGGCGTGAGCGCAAGCGCAGCAGCGAGGCCAAGGAGGCCGCCCCGGGCCCCGGCGCCCCGCCGGCCCCGCCGGCCCCCGCCTCGCCCTGGGACAGCAAGAAGCGCCGCTCCCGCGACCGCAAGCCCAGCTCTCACGCCGCCGCCTCCGCCCGCCGCCGCTCCCGCTCCCGCTCCCGCTCGCGCTCCGCCCGCCGCCGCTCGCGCAGCTCCGATCGCCGGCGCGGGGGCCGCCGCTCGCGGTCCCGGGAGAAGCGGCGCCGGCGGCGGCGCTCAGCGTCCCCGCCGCCGGCCACCTCGTCGTCGTCATCCTCGCGCCGGGAGCGGCACCGGGGCAAGCACCGTGATGGCGGCGGCAAGAAGAAGAAGAAGCGCTCGCGCTCCCGGGGCGAGAAGCGGGCGGCCGACGGGGGCGAGAAAGCGGCGGGAGGCGGCGGGCCGGCGGCGAGCTCGGCCGAGCGCGAGGGCCGCCGCCGCGGGGCCGTGCCGCCCTCCATCCAGGACCTCACGGACCACGACCTCTTCGCCATCAAGCGGACCATCACGGTGGGCCGGCCGGACAAGCCCTCGCCGCGCGGGCCCTCGCCGGGCCCCGCCGCGTCGCCGCGGCGCGAGGTGCTGTACGACTCGGAGGGCCTGAGCGCCGACGAGCGGGGCAAGGGCGGCGACAAGGAGCGGCGCCGCGCAGGGCCCGCCGCCGCCGCGTCCTCGTCCTCCTCCTCGCGGGACAAGGGCTCGCGCCGCAAGGGCCCGGACGCGGCTGAGCGCGAGCGGGAGCGCGACCGCGACCGGCCGTCCAAGAAGGCGCGGCCCAAGGAGGCGGCGGCACCGCCCGCCGGGCCCCCGAAGTCGGCGGCCAGCAGCGGTTCGGGCTCATCTTCGTCCTCGTCGTCCTGCTCGTCGCGGAAGGTGAAGCTGCAGTCCAAGGTGGCCGTGCTGATCCGCGAGGGCGTCAGCAGCACCACCCCGGCCAAAGACACCGCCGGCCCCGGCTCCATCGCCGTCAAGTTCAGCCGCGACCGCGAGAGCCGCTCGCCCTTCCTCAAGGCCGACGAGCGGGCGCCCGCCGACGCCGCCAAGGCCGCCGCGGGCAGCGCCAAGCCCAAAAAGACCAAGGCCAAGGCCAAGGCCGGGGCCAAGAAAGCCAAGGGGACCAAGGCGAAGACCAAGCCGTCCAAGACGCGGAAGAAGGCCCGCAGCGGAGGCAGCGGCGCGGCCGGCGGCCCCGGAGCCCTGAAGAAGTCTAAGGCGGACAGCTGCAGCCAGCCCGCCGGCCCCAAGGGCGCCGAGGAGACGTCCTGGTCCGGGGAGGAGCGCGCGGCCAAGGCCCCCAGCACCCCGCCGCCCAAGGCCGCGCCCCCGCCGCCCGCGCTCACCCCGGACTCCCAGACTGTGGACAGCAGCTGTAAGACCCCCGAGGTCTCCTTCCTGCCCGAGGAAGCTGCGGAGGAGGCTGGGGGCCGGGGTGGGGAGGAGGAGGAGGAGGAAGAAGAAGAAGAGGAAGAGGAGGAGGAAGAGGAGCAGCAGCCTGCCACCACCACAGCCACCAGCACAGCCGCGGCTGCCCCCAGTACTGCCCCCAGCGCGGGGTCCACAGCCGGAGACTCGGGGGCGGAGGACGGGCCAGCCGCCCGCGTCTCCCAGCTGCCCACGCTGCCCCCACCCATGCCCTGGAACCTGCCGGCTGGTGTGGACTGCACGACCAGTGGTGTCCTGGCCTGTGAGTGTGAGGATGGGAGGCAACGGGGATGCCCTGAAAGAGTGGGTACCTCATGATGTGAACTGGAGAGCTACTGGGGGGGGGCACAGACAGGGGCCGGGGGTGCACCAGAGCTTTCCAGAAGGCCAAGTTGGGCTTCTGGGAAAGAGTGATTAGATAGGACTGGCCAGAAGCCCAGGACCGTGAGGCCCACTGAGCTAGGCCAGGGCAGAAGAGATGACTTTTGCTGGGCAACTTGTCCCTTCAGGATGGCAGAGGTGTGGGAGAGGCTAGGACTTGCCACAGGTTGGCTCAGGCTATCACTCTTGTCACCTTGTCGTCACTGTGACCCTTATCCCGGGAGTCCAAGAGACATGGAGGGTCCATGGTGATTGGCTCAGTGGTCCCATTGTCCATAGGTGAAGTCTTCTGGCCTGTCCTGGGACCAAGGGTGAGGAACAGGCAGCAGCAGGTGTCTGGGTGAGGGGCATCTCTTCTGGTACCCTTTTCCCAGCCCCATGTTCACACCTTCCTGCCCCCTGCAGTGACTGCACTTCTCTTCAAGATGGAAGAAGCCAACCTGGCGAGTCGAGCAAAGGCTCAGGAGCTGATCCAGGCCACCAACCAGGTGGGCTCCCTTGGGGAAGAGTCCCCGCAGCCCTTTCTTTTGTCCATTGCCTGGGGTTAGGAGAAAACTACAACTCCCAGCAGGCCTCCGGGCAAGGTATTGGCCACAAGAGGAGCCCAACGCCCCCAGACTGTTGGGAAGTCACGGTGGAAAGGTGGAAACCACAGGGGACGGGTACAAGTCCCATCTACCCTATCCCCACCACCTTTTGTTTATCTCCCCACTTCTCCCCACAGATCCTCAGCCACCGGAAGCCCCCCTCCAGTCTAGGGGTGACCCCAGCTCCTGTACCCACCTCTCTGGGTCTGCCCCCTGGCCCCTCCAGCTACTTGCTTCCTGGCAGCCTCCCCCTGGGGGGCTGCGGCTCCACCCCTCCCACTCCCACTGGGCTGGCAGCTGCGTCTGACAAGAGGGAAGGCAGCAGCAGCTCGGAGGGACGTGGGGACACAGACAAGGTGAGCTAGCCTCAGGGATTGTGGGTTGTCACTAATGGGGTTGTCACTAATGGGCAGTAGGAAGAGATGAACTTTGGGAATGGAAGACTAGGAAAGGGTTCTGGGCAGACTTAAAAGGAAAGTACATATTTATATCTATTTAGTATGTATGTGAATGTGCGTATGTTCAGAGATCTACACCTGCACACGTTACTGACAACCCTCCCTGGTAGCCTGAGTTCCTGGCTGCTGCCCCTGGTGCTCTGCTTCTAGCCATAGCACCGCCTCTCAGTGACCCTTGGTCGTCCACCTAAGCTGCTCTTAACTGTAGTCTTAACTGTTGCAGTCAGAGTAAATACTGGAGTTGCTGGCCATGGTGGTGCCTGCTTATAATTCCAGCTACTCAGCAAGCGGAGGCAGGAGGGCTTCAAGTTTGAGACCACCCTAGGCAAAGTTATTACAAGGGTATCTCAAGTGGTAGAGCTCCTTTCTAGCAAGTGAGGCCCTGAGTTTTATCCCTGGTACCAAACCAAAAGCTAAATGAAGCTGAATACAGTGGCTCACACCTGTAATCCTAGCTACTCAGGAGAATCACAGTTTAAGGCCAGTCTAGGCACAAAACGTTGGGGAGACCCTGTCTCAACTGAGCAGCTGGGCACAGTGTCCTGTACCTACCTCAACTCAGCTGGGCACAGTGTCCTGTACCTGCCATCCCAGGTATAGTTGAAATAAAAACAGGAAGCTAAAGGTGTAGGCCAGCTTGGGCGTAAATATGACCCTATTTGAACGATAACGGGTTGAGGGTATAGCTCAGTGGTGAAGCATCTGCGTAGCTTGTGTTGACTGCCTGGGTTCCTCGCCCAGTTGCACAGCAAAACAGTACCAGTCATAATGGCTTGGCTGTTGCCATCTGCCACCACACTGAGAGTGGGGGACATGTGTCCTGGTCTTGGCTGAGCCAGGACAAGTACGGCAATGAGAGCACAGGGCAGACCTTAAGCAGGATGACTAATGCTTCCTGGAGCAGCTGGAGGGCCAGGGAGGCTAAGGTGGTAAGTGGAGGCAGAGGACCGTGGAGGCCTTCATCCGGAGCTGCTGTGCCTTTCTCCCACCCGGTCCCCACTCGCCAGTATCTGAAGAAGCTGCACACCCAGGAGCGTGCGGTGGAGGAGGTGAAGCTGGCTATCAAGCCGTACTACCAGAAGAAAGACATCACCAAGGAGGAATACAAGGACATTCTGCGGAAGGCAGTGCACAAGGTGGGCGCCATGGCCAAGGGGTTCGTGAACCTGGAGGGGAGGGGTTTGGGGGGACAGGCCACCTGGGCCTGTCATCAGAGTGGCATTGAGGGAGGGGGCCCTGGCTGCAACTCTAGCTGCTTCCCCTCCCCCCCAGATCTGCCACAGCAAAAGTGGGGAGATCAATCCGGTGAAGGTGAGCAACCTGGTGCGGGCCTACGTCCAGCGTTACCGCTACTTCCGCAAACACGGGCGCAAGCCGGGGGATCCCCCAGGACCCCCCCGGCCATCCAAGGAGCCAGGACCCCCTGACAAGGGTGGCCCAGGCCTGCCCCTGCCCCCTCTGTGAGCCCCCATCTGTCCCTCCTGCCCCTTGCCTCTTTGAGATTCTGGACATATTTATGGCTCCACCTCCCCACTCCCCTCCCCCGTCAGTGGGATGACTGGGGGAGGGTTGCTGCAGGGAAGAGGAGAGCCCCCTGCTCCGCCCAGCCCCCTACCCACCTCCTCCGTGCCCATGCCGGCCCCATTGCCCCTTCCTTGTTCGTGCCCAGTTCCCAGTTTCATTAAAGATTTCATGAAATGTAGCCCCAGCCCCATAATGCTAGCCTTTTCTTTTCAGAGACAAATTTGGGGGGTGAAGGGAAGGACCCAGGAGGTACTGCCTGTCAGGCCAGGGAGCAGCGTGCAGGCTGCTGGGCAGGTGCAGTGCCCTCGGCCCATTTCCTCATACACAGTGGCAGAATCACAGACACAGGTGGTAAAGTGCAGTAGTTGGCTGCGGATAAAGTGGGTGACTGGGATCCCAGCCCCCACCCCCTCCCGGCCCCCAGTGCCAGAATTACCCCACCTGCAGGAGCCCTTTGAGCTGATTGCTTTTCAGCAGTTCTGTAGGCTGCTGGTGGTCTAACCTAATCTGCTCAGGGGGAATGGAGCAGGGAGCAGGGCCCAGGGCCAATCAGGCAGCATGGCTTCCATCAGTCGCCCCTTACCCTGAGCCGCAGCCCATCAAGGAGGGGTAGCAGGCCCAGAACCCCTGCCCAGAAAAGAACCTGAGGTTGGAGTTGGGCACCAGTGGCTCATACCTGTAATTCTACTTAGGAGGTTTAGAGCTGACGATCAGGGTTCAAAGCCAGCCAGGGCAGGAAGGTCTGTAAGATTCTTATCTCCAATAAACTACCAGGAAACCAGAAGTGGCGCTGTGGCTCAAGTGGTAGAGCACTTGCCTTGAGCTGAAGAGCTAAGGGACAGTGTGCCCAGGCCTAGGGTTCAACCCCACGACTGGAGGGGAGGGAGGGAACCTGAGGCTGAGGCCAGAAAGGGGCCCAGGGTAACTGGATCTAAGCAAACCCTTTCTAGGCAAAGTGGAGCTCCCTCCTAGTGCAACCCTGGAATCCTCACCTTCCACCAGGTCTCTGGAGCAAGAAAGGGGGCTAATGTCAGCTGTCCCCCTGCACAGGGCCTGGTTACCAAGCACTGCTGCATAGGTAAACTGACAGCTGGGCTGGGACACCCAATGCGACACACCGTATAACTACAGCAGGAATTGCTTTATTGGTCCCAGCAACCCTAGGCCTGGGCCTCCAGGAGCCTAGACCTCCATGTCTTCCACCAGGTCCTGCAGGTAGGCCTTGTACTGGTCCGATGAGAGGGAGAGGGGTTGGCTGTTGGAAATGTGCAGGTCCACGGTGTTCTCCAGTGAGGAGGCCCCCCCCAAGCGGGCCATTTCCAGAAGGGCTCTGAGGCATGTGGGAACAACCTGTGGGGGCAGTGCGGAGCCCAGTCAGGCAAATTGCCCACCTACCCAGTTCCATCAGCCCCCAGCTTAATTTACCCACATGGAACCACCAACTATAGGCATGGTGGGAAATGTAGTTTTTCCCTCAAGGGAGCCCAGTATCCCTAGGGCTGAGCAGCTGAGGGTGTGGTAGGGAGGGGGCTCAAGATGGAGGTCTAAGCCAGGCACCAGTGGCTCATGCCAGTAATCCTAGCTACTCAGGAGGCTGAGATCTGAGGATCACGGTTCAAAGCCAGCCTAGGCAGGAAAGTCCGAGAAAGTCCTATCTCCAATAAACCACTTGAAAACGGAAGTGGTGCTGTATCTGAAGAGCGCAAGGACAGCGCCCAAGCCCAGAGTTCAAGCCCCATAACAGACCAAAAAAAAAAAAAGATGGAGGTCTACCAAGTATAGGAGCTAGAGATGTCAAGTCAGGCTTTCTAGTGAGATCACCAACTACACCCCTGAGAACTGTGAAGTTGTCCTTTCCCACAGGTAATTCTGGGAGTTGTAGCTCCTGGAGCTATAACTTTTCTAGGTTAAGACCACCTGCCAGCCCCAGGAGCCCTGGACAGCAGGCACCTTGACCATCACGAGCCTCTTGACCCACGGCTGGTCCCGAGGCCACGCCTCTCCCACACAGAACCAGAGGGTGTAGCGTGGCGAACGTCTACTTCCTTCCATGAAGGCAATGAGATCTAAAGGCACAGAAGTAGGGTCAGAGAAGGGAAGAACACACTTTACCCACTCCCAGTCCCACTCTCCCGTGGCGAAAACCCTTTGCCACTACAAATGGGCTGCCGGTCTGAGGAAAGCCTCTGCAGCTCTGGCATAAACTTAAATGTTCTCCCTCCTCCCCATCAGGAGGCTGGGGGGGTGGAGTGGGGGGAAGGGATGGGACACCGGACTGCCCCTCCCCCTGCCTACCCAGAACCCCAGCCATTAGTTGACATAGGAACGTTTTGACATACTGAACTTTTTGCCCAGGGCCTGGCTTTGAACCCTGATTATCTGATCTCTGCTTTCCAAGTAGCTGTTATTACAAGCCTGAGCTAGTTCTTTTGGCTGGGAATTTATCTTCCTTGACTGTCTGGATGTTTTGGTGCTAGGATGGAGCACAGAGCCCTGTGCATGCTAAGCAGGCACTGCACAACTGAGCTGCACCACAGCCCTCTCGTTTCTTTTTTCCTTTTTTGGGGGGGTGAGTTTTTTGGTCGGTTGTGGGGTTTGAACTCTGGGCCTGGGCGCTGTCCCTCAGCTCTTCAGCTCAAGGCTAGCACTCTACCGCTTGAGCCACAGCACCACTTCCAGCTTTTTCTGTTTATATGGTGCTAAGGAATCGAACCCAGGGCCTTATGCATAAGGCAAGCACTCTACCACTGAGCCACCTTCCCAGCCCCCCTTCCATTTCTTTGGGTATCCCCTGCCCTGATGACCGTGATGGGCAGCCTTCTCTACTGATTCCTGAGCTACACAAGAGTAGCCTTCTGCCCCAGCTCCCTTCGCCACCATGCCCTTGGCTTCCTATGAGGGGGGGGCTCACCTGTCACGAAGGGCGCTAGGTTGAACACGTCTGCATCCTTGTCCTTGGGGACCTCACCATCATGCCCGTGCCCGCTGTTGGGGAGCAGCTCCTCCCCTATGGCCCAGTAAGCATGGGAGTGTCCCAGGCGACGGCTCCACAGCTGCTGCCCAGCCCGCCACAGAGCCAGGCCACCCTTCAGGCCACTGAGCACATGCCTCACGAAGTCCTTCACTCCCCTGTCAGACAGCGACAGCCCAGGGTCTGGCAGTGCTATTGGCTGCCAAGGCAGCGTCGGGTCCACATCCTCTGAGCCCACCAGCCGCAAGCCCTGGGGGCAGAAGACGTTCCGCTGGAAGACTTGCCGGCCTCGGTAGAAGACGGTCACCTCGAACTCCCACTCTGACCAGCAGCAGCAAGAAGGAAAGAGACAGAGGGGGCCAGAGTGAGGGCCACTGTCCTACTGCAGTCCCCCCACCCTACAGGTGGCACTCACGTTCCTCAGACACCAACAGCAGCCTCAGTGGGTTACCAGGGGGTGCCGGGTTTGGGTGGGGCATAGAATTGTTCAACAAGACCTGAGGGTAGTGATCAGGGGCCACAGCCAGGCCCGAGGCACCCTCTTGTGGGAGTGAGGCCAATGCCATGTCACCCAGCAACTCCAGGAGGTCTTCCTGGAGAAAGAAAAAAAACAAACATTTCAACAGGCTTTCTGGATCAGCAAATGGGAGACTGGAGGGGATGAAATGGGGGTCCAAGGGGAGAGGACAAGGCCTGAGCAGGCCTAGAGGATGAGGCTAAGGTAGAAGCTGCGGGGTAGGGGGACTGGGTGTAATGTCACCTGGGTGTCTGGGGTAACGCCTCCAGCATCAGTGTCTGGAGAGGTGTCAAGGTGAGGAGAGTCTCCAGCCTCTGTGGAGAGAGATGTGAGCAGAGTAGGGGCAGAGAGCACTACAGCCCCTTCAACACCTCCAAATGAAACTGCTTTGACATACCTGATGAGTCCACAAACTCGTAGACCTTATGCGGGTCATAGGGGTCCTTGCTCCGGTCCTCAGTGAGGCGTATCCCTTCCTTCCTATTCAGGGCAGACCGGAAATTTCTCTTCCAGGTGGGCAGGTCTGGCTTGTCTTTCCCAGGAGTGTAGGCACCGCTGGCCTCCGCCCAGGCCTGTAGCACAATGGTACCCAGATGCTCCTAGAACCCTAACACAGCCCACAGGACTTTCCAACTCTGCAAGGCACCACCCCCAAATTGTTGGTGTCCCAACATCCTCCGTCACCGTCCCCCCCCACACCTATGCCTCTAGTTTTCAATATTTGTATCCTAGCTACTCAGGAGGCTGAGACCTGAGGATCATAGTTTGAAGCCAGCCTGGGGAAGGAAAGTCTGCAATACTCTGATTTCCAATTAACCACCAAAAAGCCAGAAATGGAGCTGTGGCTTGAATGGTAGAGTGCCAGTCTAGAGTGAAAAACCTAAGGGACTGGCTGGGCACTGGTGGCTCACGCCTGTCATGCTGGCTACTCAGGAGGTTCAGATCTGAGGATCCCAGTTCAAAGACAACCCTGGCATGCCAGAAAGTGCGTGAGATTCACATCCAACAAATGACTCAGAAAATGCCAGAAGTGAAGCTGGGGCTCAAGTGGTCAAGAACTAGCCTTTGAGCACAAAGAGGGTCAGGGACATTGCCCAGGCCCTGAGTTCAAGCCCTAGGACTGGCACTGTAACTCTGTCAGTAGCATCCCATCCTGCTTCCCAACAACAGGCCCTGAACCTGCGGGTCCCTACCCTCAGGTTCAAACCCCACCCACCCCACATTAGCATGAGCCCGCCCCTGGAGCGGTAACCCCGCCCCCTCGAGGCTGCCCTGCTCTAGCAAGGTTTCCCGCGCACCTGGAAGATGCCGAAGTCCACCAGCTGTGCGTCCTGCCGCAGACCGTGCTTCCAGGGGATTCGGAAGCGTCGGCGGTTCGCGTCCAGCCAGGCCACGCCTTCCAGCCGCCCCTGGTCCAGCTGCGATATCAGCCAAGGCAAAATCCGCGGCTTTTGGGTTCCCATGGTCCGGCCTAGGTGTGCGGGGCGGTTCCTGAATGCGGGCGCCCTCTGGAGCCCACCGGGCCTGAGGGTAACGCGCCTCGGTGTAAGCTCCCCGCTCCCACCGCCCCCGTGGCAGGTTTTCCTGGGGGTACAAAACTCCAGTCTGCTCACGCCATCCTCTAGAGACTCTCCCTTAGTCCCACAGCCAATGCAGACCCCCCCCCCCTTTCCTCCTCAGCGCGGCCCCTCGACGCCGCCAGGGCAGATCCCTCCATCCCGCACGCGTCCAAGGCTGGGGACAGGACCCCCTCCCCTCGCGATCTCTGAATCTCTGAGCAGATGTGGACCCCACATTTTGCCCTGATGTAAGCCCCCTTCCCCACCGAAGACCCCCCCCATCATCTGCAGGATGGATCTCCACCACCGCCCCCGAACAGCCTCAGGGCAGGACACGCCCCCATTTTCCAGAATGTTGTTTCCCTGGGTCAGAGAAGCGCCCCCCCCCAGCCCGTGTAGAGCCCTCCCCTCCGTCTCCCGCCCCACTCGGTCTAGTTTCCCCAGGGCCAGCTGTTGAACGTCCCTCCAGATTCAGGGACGTCCCGTCCGGTTTCTCAATCCGCCCAGTCCCGAACTCTTCCGCCTTCCCTACCGTGGCGAAGTCGGGCGCGCACGGCGCTCGGGCCCACCCCGGGTTTGGGGGGTTGCAGGTAGCTGTCAGACTCGAAGCCGTGCAACCCGCTTCTTGTCAGCTAATGTTCCCGGCGCTGGGCCTTTTCGTCTCGATCGATTTCTCGAAATACAAACTTTTTCATGTTTCGGACGACACACTTGAAAAACCAAAAGTGGGTTCGGAAGAGTCGAGTCCATCCTCCCGCCCCACCTCCTCGTGACCTTTTTTGGACTTCCTGCCGCGGGCATGCTGGGAACGTCATATGCAAATGACCAGGCACGCGGTATTCGCCACCCACCCCCGCCGCTTCTACGTTGGGGCGGTTACCAACTCGATGCAGTGCGCAGGCGCGGGAAAGTTGAACTGAGAAAAAGTTTGTACAATTTGAATAGAGACCGTGGAGGGGACTAAGATACCGGCGGTGGGGTTCCGGACCAGGTGAGCTGCGTGTCACGGGAGAGGCTTGGGGAGGAAGGGGCTGAGGTTCAGGAGTGGCCATCCCCAGTCCTGCTTCTTTGGCATCCATATCTTTAGGATCCCCCGAACTCACGCCTGAGTTGGATAGTGGGAACTACATCTCCCAGCAGGCTGCGCGGCAAAATAAGCTCGGATCAAGGGAACTATTTACCGCGGAGCCTACTGGGATTGGTAGTTCTCGATTCTCTGGGGCTCTAGCAGCTTTGCTTGTGCCCGCCGAAGTCTGAACTTTGAAGCCTTCTGCTCACTCGAGGATCCAGGAGCACAAGTTTCCAACCATTTCCTTTTTTGAATTCAAGAATCCAGACTCTTCCTTTCCCTAAATAAATCAGGCCTCAGACCTCAATCCCCGCTCCCCTCACCCCCCAGGAGCCCCCAAACCTCAACTTTCCTGCTGAGTTCAGGAACTCGAAAGTGCTTGGGAACGCTCAAGTCCTGACCTCCTCTTCGTTTAGGGACTAGAAGTCCGGGCTGTAAGCCTCCTCTTCATAATGAACCTTGGCTCTGTCCATTCCCTTTCCCTCACCCACAGGTACCTCTATGGCAGGCTCCGAAGAACTGGGGCTCCGGGAGGATACACTGAAGGTCCTAGCTGCCTTTCTTAAGCGGGGAGACACTGCCGGGTCCCCTGTTGCAACCCCGCCGAGGTGAGAAGAGTGCTGTTCTGTTCCACGCACAGGGCCTGCACTTGGGTGGACGGTCTCTGTAACTTTGGCTCCTGATCTCCGCCTCTCTCCTTTCTTCATGCCTCGCTATAGCCCCTGTCTTGGGTATTGCAAATGCAAAGGGCCTCTTTGCGAGGGATGTCTGGGAGTCACTCTCTGAAGTTTCACTTCCTCAGGATCCCTCACCAGGAGGAGCCGACAGATTTCCTGAGCCGTCTTCGAAGATGTCTTCCTTGTCCTCTGGGGAGAGGAGCCGTTCCACCTGAGTCCCCTCGACCTTGCTCCCTGCCCATCCAGCCCTGCTATGGTTCAGAGCCTGGTAAGAGATTTCCCCAGATCATCTGCAGAAGCTGGCATGGCCGGGAGCGTTAGTTCCTAAAACACAGACAGGACGCTATCATTTAGTCAAGGCTCTCCAGCACATCATCATCATGTCTTACCTTCCACCCCAGATTTTGTCAATTCTATGTGCTACCTGGTTGGGGATATGGCCGCTGCCTAGCTAGTTATTATCTCTAGCTAATTATTATTCTTGCCCTCTAAGGAGGCAAGCCCCTCTGGTAGCTACAATAACCTCAGAAGACAGGCAGAGACTTGGTTTCAATCACAACTTCCTGGCTACTATGTAGTAGGACTCTAGGAGCAATCCATTTTCTCCCTAGCTCCTCTGTTGTTGTCGTTTTTTCTTGTTTTTTCTTCTAGTAGCAGGGTAAGAATGGAGTAAGGAACTCAGGGGCTAAGTTCTGAGGATCACGGTTCAAAGCCAGTCCAGGCAGGAAAGTCTGTGAGACTCTTATTTCCAATGAACCACCAGAAAACTGGAATAGGCCCTGTGGAGAGCGCTCACCTTGAACTGAAGAGCTCAAGGACAGCATCCAGGCCCAGAGTTCAAGCCCCACGACCGACCAAAAAAAAAAAAAGGAAGAATGGAGTAAGGAATCATTGGACTTGATCCAGTGAGAGCCAGGTTTGCTTTCATAAGCTAATAATATCTTCGAGGTGTACTAGCAGTAAAAGGAATTTGCAGGTGGAGAGATGAATGATGTGATCAGTTGATGATGTCTAAAATGGGAGAGGGTTAGGATGATATTGACAATGTGTCTTCTGTTTGCCTTCTTGGATAATAATCATCCCTAAAATAATTATTTCTTCTTCTGCTTCTGCTTCTGCTTCTTCTTCTCTTCTTCCTCCTCCTCCTCCTCTTCCTCCTCCTCCCAGTCCTGGGGCTTAAACTCAGGGCCTGGCCACTGTCCCTGAGCTTCTTTTGTTCAAAGCTATAACTCTACCATTTGAGCCACAGCACCACTTTCAGCTTTTTCTGTGTATGTGGTACTACGGAATCAAACCCAGAGTGCTCCATGCATGCTAGACAAGCACTTTACTACTAAGACACATTCCCAGCCCATCAGCCCTGAAATTCTTAGTTCAGTTTGGAGACATACTGAAGTAGAAAAGGACAAAGATTTGAGCATCTTGTGGGGGGAAGAGAGAGGGGGTCATGAGGCTTGAACTCTGGGCCTGGGCACTGTCCCTGAGCTTTTCAGCTCAAGGGGAGCACTGTACCACTTGAGCCACAGCAACATTTCCGGTTTTCTTGAGGTTAATTGGAGTTAAGAGTCTCTTGGACTTTCCTGCCTGGGCTAGCTTTGAACAGTGATCCTCAGATCTCAGCCTCCTGAGTAGCTAGGTATGAGTCACCAGCTCATGAACTCTTTTTACCCCAGGCCCAGCCACTCCAGACTTCTATGCCCTGGTGGCCCAGCGGCTGGAGCAGCTGGTTCAAGAGCAACTGAGATCTCCACCTAGCCCAGGTGAGGTGCCAAGGTGCTCTGGGAAAGGATGAGGGTCAAAGGGTAGTCACGGCTTTGCCCCAGTGAAATCCTCTTCTGTCCCCAGAGTTACAGGGTCCCCCACCTACAGAGAAGGAGGCCCTACTTCGGAGGCTGGTTTGCTTGCTGGAAGAGGAGGCTGAAGTCATCAATCAGAAGGTGACTCAGGCCTCCATTCTATGCTTTACTGGGACTGGGACTGGGACTTTGTGAGATGGTGGGATACTGAGATTAGAAGCTGGATCCGGGAAGCTGAGAACAACTGTAAGTCCTGTACCGGAGAGGCTGAGACAGGAGGATCTTGAGTTCAAGGCCAGGCTGGACTATATCGTGAGATTCCCCAATCCCTAGAAAATTCCATTTCCTGTCTTATACATGTCAATCATCCAATGTACGGTAGAGGGCAAAGTTGCTGGTTTGGCCTGGAGACCAAAAATGGCCCCTGGGGAGGCGGGGGCTAGAGGCTCAGAAATTTAGACCGCATCTAAAGTTACTCTTGGCTCTGATTGGTTGACCAAGAACTAGCCAGGGGCGTGGCTCAGCAATTCAGACCTATGACACTGTCCGGAGAGCCGTTGGCCTTATGGTGTGGTTTATGATTGGCTAATGTGATAGATGGGAGGGGCTGAGCCTTAGCAACTGGGTGGGGCATGAACTAGGAAGCTATGCCCCCAGCCTCCTATTGGCTGGCTGCTAGGTTATGGCTGAGATTCACCATCTCTTGCCTTTGGCATCCCACAGCTGGCCTCTGACCCCATCCTACACCGCAAGCTGGCCCGCCTGTCAGCAGGATCCTTCTCCCGCCTAGTGGAGCTGTTCTCCAACCGGGAGAGCAGCCCTCATGGGAGCCGCACAAGCACCTCCTTGCCCTGTCCCGGACCCCCACCGCCTTCTCCGGAACCCTTGGCCCGCCTGGCCCTGGCCATGGAGCTGAGCCGGCGTGTGGCACGGCTAGGGGGCACCCTGGCTGGACTTAGCGTGGAGCACGTGCACAGCTTCGCACCCTGGATCCAGGCCAACGGGGGCTGGGTGAGCCACCAAAGCGTCTCTGGGCCTCAGTTTACCTACTGTAATGGGATGGGGTGGTGGGGAAGGAGGCAGAGCTTAGACTTCCTTACTGAATTCCATGTTCCGTTCATTCCCTCTGTGCTTTTCCAGCCCTGGCTATAGACCAGGCACTACATATGCCTGTGCAAACCACTGCTGTGAGGCGACTAGGCCTCAGCTTCCTCTTTGGGAAGTAGGGAGAATGGGAACTGCTGGAATGTGATTTCCTCCATGCTCACTTCAGTTCCTTCTGGAATCGCCCCCAATAAGGGCTTTCATGGCTCCCCTCTTTTTGTGTGTGCTGGTACTCTAGATTGGTGGTACTCTACCACTTGAGCCATACCTTCATGTTTTACTTTTTGCTGATTAGAAATAATCTCAAGGACTTTCCTGTCTGGGCTGGCTTCAAACCGCTACGCTCAGATCTCAGCCCCCTGAGATCTTACCCCCAGCACTGCAAATAACAATAATAAACCAGGCCTCAGTGGCTCATACTTGAATCCTAGTTATTCTACTCAGGAGACTGAGATCTAAGGATTAAGGCTATCAGGACAGACAGCTGAGCTGGAGACATAGCTCAAATGGTAGTATGTCATTCATGAGCAAAGAAGCCCAGAAAGAGCCGGGCACTGGTGGCTCATGCATGTAATCCTAGCTACTCAGAAGCTGAGCTCTGAGGATCAGGTTTGAAGCCAGCTTGGGCAGGAAATTCTTTGAGACTCTTATCTCCAATAAAATACTCAAAAAAGCAGGAAATGGCGCTGTGGCTCAAGTGGTACAGCGCTCACTTGAGCAAAAGGTCAGAGGCAGTGCCCAGGTCCAGAGTTCAAGGACCCAGGGCTGACAAGAAAAAAAGGAAAGCTCCAGTATCTATCGACACACACACACACACACACACACACACACAAGGCTGGAATAGGATTTTCACTTACTATTGTTTTTATTTTTGCTGGTTGCCTTCCTGCCTCTATCATACATCTGTGGATCTCTCCCCCATTTACTGTCCTCTGCTGTCTGATTGGTCTCCAGCGCGCTGGCTGTGTGACCTTGGCAACTGTCCCCATCTCCCTAGCAACTGTCTCCCACCCCTGGCCCACATGAGTAGCATCTCAAGTCCCCTGCATTGTCGGTCTGTACAGGGCTTCAGTAAGAGAAGGACCATGCCTGCCCTGGGAA